AGCCCCCCTTCATTTCAAGCCTCTGCGTGCCGTGCTCGGATAAATCTGCAGTCTCCATTATCTCTTGAGAGGCTCAGCTCTCCGCATGGCGCTCTGTTTTTATTTTCACTAAGCTGTCCCTCTTGGTTTCCCTCTGCTGAATGCTATCTACAGATTGTGGGTGCAGTGGGATATTTTTATGATAAGGTTTCTAAATACCCAGGGGATGAAAAAAGAGTATTTAGAGAACACAAAAGCAACTCTTCCCACCTCTTTTCTGTTGGTTAAATGAAGGTAGAGTAATGTGCTTGTCATTAGCTGGGGCTGGGGCCCTCCTGGTCACTTGATTTAGCTGAAATGCTAATAGATGTTTTATATTATCAGATTCCCACTTCCTACTTTTATTTCAGCTAAGCCACTTTATGTGATTCACTTCCTTTTTTAGGCACCTGTAAATGCCTGCTTTCTCTCCCAGTGGCATTAGAAGGAGATTCGATTCACAAAAGGCACCTAAGCTGAGACTCCTGTAGAAATCTGTGCAGCGTGTCTGCAAACTTCAATTGCTGGCTGTGCACGAGGGAGCCTTCAGCCACTTCCTTTCTGCAATTACGAGCTTCAGAAAAGTACACTCTATAAAACCCAATTCAGTGAACACTTAATTTCAGTGCACAAAGGCACTGAATAGAAACTAAGATGTGCTGCAGTGTTTACTGCTGCACTCCTGAAAGCTTCTTTATTTCCCTTTTTCTTTTCAACTGTGTTTGTGTCTGTCCTGACTATCCTGAAATGTTTAAGATTCTTTTAGAAACACCGTGCTTACACAGATCTTTTTTAATTTTAGAGTCAGAGGTCCGATTTTCATATTGCAGCTTGTGGACCCGCAGATCATCTCGTTAGATAAAGAGCTATGAAACACTGCTCGGGCTTATCGTGCCGGAAAAGATGGAGCACTGTTTAAGTGAGATACAGTAACGCATGAGAAAATTATAAGTCTATTCTTCGGGGTAAAATTTGTGGGGAGATTTAATTTGCATTTTATTCCACATTATGGATTCTCTGTTATCTGTGAAATTACCATTATCTGGGGCGATCTGATGGAAATCTGTTTTACACCAGGGTGGTTTCACTGTCTGGGCCGCCCCCTCAGTGTGTCACCACTAGGGGACACCATCGTAGACCTGCAGCAGCCTGGATGCAGAGATGAAAGCGAAATGCTGGATCTGGGGTTTTGGACTACACATATTGTGCATGAATGCACTGGAGGTTAATGTTTGTGGTGATGCACATGTCACACTGCAGTGAGGACACAATACCTATAAATCAGACAATTTAGCTTTTTGGTTTCTGTCGACTGTAAAACAAGCGACCGCAATTTGAGAATGTGATATCCCGACCGTCGACGCAGTTCATGATTGAAGGGTAGCAGGGAAGTGTGAAGGCCTCAGAAAGTAAAAAGTTCCCAGGCGGTGAATAGCGAGGGCACTTGAGCCTTGCAGAATGTGGGTCCTTGAGGCTTGGACATGTGGTGGTGTTTTGTCAGAGGAAATGGGATGTATTTGCATGGACAAATTCCTCAGAGCCAGGGCCTTTCCCAGATCAGGGGGATCACAGTGTTTGAATTGGCAGAGCTCACTTGGGTCTACCAGGGCTTGGGCAACCCACGGTCACAGTACAGTGGACATGTGTGTGTGCGCGTGTGTGTGTGGCCTCAGGGCTCCCTGGCCCTGCTGATTGTAGCATAGCACATCTGCACATGCACACTGCTCATTGAGACTGCCAGTTCTTTGTCAGAGGATGGAGTTCACAGATAGTGGGCCGCGCAGGCACACACATGCTATATTCTCATTCAACCGATAAGGTTTTAACATCTTATACTGTACGCTGAAAAATAACTGGTATGAACGGGACCTGCACTGATGTAATTTGGTGTCATTTGAATTATTCGTTAGCAAGCCACCATTTAAAAAAAATTAATCACGGGATAATTTCTGTATATAAAGATTTACTATTACATGCCGTCTTTGAAAGGGACGCTATTATCACCTAATACATAGCATTCGTGACTTCTTATTACCAGCTTCTAAACAAATAAACCCTCCCTGAGTTTGTATGCATCTTTGTATTTTCCTCTTTGTATTTGCAGAATAAATAATTAGATATATCATAGATCCTGCACTATCCTTCAGAACAAATGTGAAATATTTATCCTCTGTCTGAGTTTTTCCCATTTATTTTCAAGTTTATACTATAATTTAATGTCCCTTTGATTACATTTATCTCATACCTAACTCCCCTAGTTATTTTGCAGATTTAAAAGCAAAAAGCTGTTTTTAATGGTCAGTTTTACCACGTCACATCACAATCTGAAGTCTAATATTTGTCAGCTGGAGCATTTATGCCATTTGCCAATTGCTGCATTTGCTAAAGAAGCTCATGCCGTTAATATGCTCTGCAAGATCTTTAGGGCTGTGGAGTTCATATTGAGCAATTTACATATTGGTTTTACATCTTCACACAAAGCCACAGTTGCAGCTCTCCCATCCTCTGCCATGTCCCTCCGTCTCCCTTCATGTAAGGAGATCCTCCTGTGTGGAAGTGACAGGCTTCTCCCAGCGATATGACATATTTGGCTCTTTGTTCTCTGCCTTTTTTCATCCCAGTCGGCAGACACTGCAGTCTTTCACTGCACTTCCACATATTCTCTCTAGCAGGAGAGACACTCACCAAGTAATACTTTTGTTTGAATTCTCTCCTAATCGCAGTATTGGGGAATGTTTTGAGTCAGCAGAGGGATTTTTTTTTTTTTTGACGGGCCTTGCACATCAATAGCAAGAAGCCGGCTCTCCTAAGTCACATGGTACAACATCCTTTGATAAATGCAACACTGTGTTGTGTCACTAAAAGCCAATTACACCATGCTTTTTTATGATTGATCTGCTTTGACAGTAGTGGATGGCATTTAAATCAACAGCCCCCGAAGCCATCTCTAGGCATAAACGGTGGTGGTTATAGAGGGTGGGTAGGGTGGCGGGGGGTTACGGGTGCTTTAATCTAATTTGCTTGGTTGCTGAGTTGAGTTTCTAGATCACATGTTTTCAAAAAGAGAGCGGGAGAGCGGGCAGAAATATCCAGCAAGGCTCTGCTCACTCAGCTCAGGAAGGCTGCTCTCTCTTACAACTTTGATTGTCCCCCGTGTCGACAGCTCGATCCACAGCTTCTGAAGTACAAGGCGCACACTGGCACTCATAAAAGCATGTAGGGAGGTGTCATATTGAACGCGGGATTGCTTTTTAATCCCGAGCACATTGACTATTCTTGTCAATAGAACCCCAATACAACTGCCAGCTTGAGCTTTTTTTTTTTCCTACAGGATTCTTGCTGGGCTTAATTTTCAAAGTGAACGCACAGATGCCAAGGAAGGGTTTTTTTCTTCTCTTTCTACCCCCCACTCCCCACACACCGCTCTGCCTCTCTCTGTTTGCGTCTTGGTAGTCCATGCCAAGAGCAACATGCGTGAAGCAGAAACGATCAGTGGGACGCTCCTCCACCTGTTTCTCAAGTCTGAATGACCTGGGAAATATTCCCCTCACCTGCTCGCCCTCCTTTTCAATTATTAACCTCTTATATTTCCACTCCTTTTCTCTTTTCGTTTTATTTTTATCATGAGAACTCTGAGAATAAGGGCTGTCTCTATCTGTAACTTAAAACACATGTAGCCTATTCTTCAGCTGAATCCGCTTTCAAAGAACAAATCTTCCTTTTCTAGCTCGTCTCTGTGTTGGAATAATTATTATCCACATCATTAGACAAGCTCCTTACTGTATCTAAATTAGAAGGTCTTCTTTTCAGGCCGGACATCACAGGTGTTCCCTTGGCTTCGTGTCTCAGGAGGCAGAAATCTTTGAGGATACTGACTATTAACCAATGCTCTAATCATCTAGTCAGGAGGGGATATGAAACCCGCCGGAAGAATGAATTAATACGACCCGCCAAGGAATACACGAAGAAAGCAGCGAGTGTCCATTTGCAAGGCTTAGGTACAACTGTCATAGTTTCTCTCATCGCAGCGCAGCCCCTTCATCTCCTCTTGATGGTGTCATGGAAGTGAGAGGCGTAAAAGCACAGTGACACTCCACGAGCCCGTTCCACTCGCAGCCGCTAATTCATCATGACAAATGTGCTCAGATGATCTGGCCCAGCAGCACTAATGGGGAGAGGAGAGAGCGCACTTCATTTGCACAAGACCCACTCCAATTAATCCATCCAGCTTTACTCTGGGCTAATTGGAGCAGGGCCCTCCCTGCCTGTGTGCTGGTAATATACCCGACACAGTTTAACAGCCCCTGTTCTCAAAGATCATACTTTTTGTGCGTGCGTGCGTGCATGTGTGTAGGTTTTGCCGAAGGGGCCTTTGAGGTTGTAAAATCTGTTCCCGGTATCCTAAACTCAAGACCGTCTCACAAACATGTGTTCATAATGAGCAATTAACTGCTCACATTTCCATCATATCGGGCTTTACTCTGTCCTTTCTTCTATTTTTGGGTTCCAGTTTTGATCCGTTGGTTATTTTTCCAAACATATTTACAACAAATATAAAAAGCATATTTTAATATGGCAGAATGTCTTGCATTTAGTTTGTTGCCTGATACAAAAAAACTGATTTATTAGCAGAATAAACAAGCAGATGCATAAATAGAAATCGGGAGATAACTGTCAAAAGCTAAAAGCAACATCAGTACTAGCTTAAAAGACTCTTTTGAAGAGTGCTCACATCATATGTTTTTGGTTGTTTTGACTACAGCTGTGTGTGTGTGTGCACATATTTGTGTGTGTGTATCTATGTGTGCTATGAACGGCACATTGCTTTGGCTCAGTGCAAAACCCTTTGGCACCGGTAGGACACCCTTTGTCTAAACTTAGAAGTGCACTGCCTGTTAATTAATCCATCCTAAATTGATTTTGATCAGTCCGGCTTTTGATTGAAGCTTCTAATACACGTTTGATAGTGCAGCGTCCTCTGGGAAAAGGCAGGCGCTGATCCGGTGTTTAAGTTTCTGGCTCGCTGTCAGACGATGTCCTCACCAACCGATGCGAGTCTTGAAATGATATCGCAGAAGACGAGAGCGTATTTGCATTTTCGAAGTTTGTCTGTGTGCGGTAGAAAATCTAGAACAATTGTTGGGCTGTCACTTTGGCTTTATCTTTAAAAAAAAACTTAAAAAGGTTTTCCTTCTTGCCATACACGGCTGCTCGGGTAATGCTGCCTCCTGTGTCTGCAGACGTATTTTTCTAAAGGTGTGTGTGGCACATCTGTGCAGCTATTGTTTATTCATGGAGTAAACCCTTTGAAATGTGTTAAGATACTTCCCACTCATTATAAAAATCCTGCCACCCATGGATTAGGACTTTGATGTCACCAATCCTGCTTCAAAGGCTTCTTTCACTGCTATTAATCACAGTTTAGCCTCTGAAGATATAGCCAGAGAAAACATTTGGACATCTTGTGCAGAAACTTTGAAATGTTCAGACTGTCTTGCATATGCTATGTTCACATCCTTTCCACTGTGTGTGGGGCTGTTGGACTGCTGTGCACACAGATGCACTCCTGAGCCCATGGATTCAGCTTAGTTTTTTTTTCTTTATACTCTCCTGCTCTATGAACACCAACATAGTGGTGCACGCTTTATACACCTTTTTCTTGTATGTTGAATAAAAACGAAAAGAAAATCAATCCCGGAGTGTTTACTGAAACGCCGCTGGCTCATTCCCAAATATTATTTGCTTTATCATATTACTGCATGAAAGTCCACTGGCTTCATTCTTGTGTTCAACAGGAAATCTGGCGACGTCCAAAGCGAGAGTCACCGCCGCCTCCAGATCTCTCCCGCCGCAGCTCGGTTCAGGACGCACCAAGGTGAGCATTCAGCCGTAGCCCGAATCGTCACGTGCAAAAAAAGCCCCATAATGCTTTTTTTTTACATTTTTTTTTTATTTGTTGCTCACAGGCATTGCACCATAAGAAACCCAGTAAAAACCTGTGCTGTGAAGCATAGCCACATTAATTGACTGCCCTGTTATGTTTGCTGTCTTGCTTGTGGTGATACAGCATCGCCATCTGGCACTCAGTGTCTACATCATAAAAGTAGTTTCTGAGACTTAGTGAATATTGTTGTTTTTGTCGCTGGCAGGCAGCGTTTTAAATTTTAAGGATGACTTTTGCAGATTCTCCTAAATCAGCTTAAATCACTGCATTGGCTTGACGGTTTTCTTTCCATGATATTTCATGTAGAATCTCTTGTTGCATCCAGCAATGCTGATTGTTCATGTTCACTCTAAGTTTGTTTGAGCTGAGTCTTGGCAGCATCAGTGGCTGGAAATTTTCTTAAAAGAAAAAGCTCTTACTGCCTCTCCCTCTGAACTTTAACACTTTCATTTCTGGACCTTCTTTGTTTAAGGGGCAAAATTTCACAAGCTAATAATATCTCTAAGATCGCGTTTCTTAAATGACTGAAAATATTCAGCCTATGTTGACTAACTTTAATCTGATCTTTGTGTAGGAAATACGAAGTCACATGATGCTTTAACACTCGAACCTCTCTTAAAACTGATTTTCAGATTCCTCTTGTCTTTCCATTTCTCTCTTCCTTTCCTTCCATGTTATTCGACAACATGTGCTGTACTCAAAGTCTCCCAAATACCTGTTGAAGGTAAGACCCCTGTTTGATAATAGTAAAACTTTCTGAATCCAAATGCACCACCTCTGAACCACAGGACAGATCTGAGAAAAAACCCCCCAACATAGTTCACTGAAGTTATCATCGCATTATTGTAATCCAAAAACTAAAACTTCAAACTGCGCTTCACAGACTGACTGTGCAGCTCCAGTCATAAAACATCAATCACAAGCTGCTTTTGGAAAATGTAAATCATCCCTTTTGAACCATTTTTTCTCCACACAGCCACATTTCTGAGTTATTAATGTAAACAAATGCACTGCGATGTGTCTTTTAGATTATAAAAATGCTTCATGTGAGACGGAAACAAAGGCCAGAATAACAGTGGGAATAATAACAGTCCTACTTTGTTGAGCTTCCACTAAGCACCTACTCAGTTATTCTTGAAGAAGAGAGGACTTCTTAGTAATAACTCTGTGAGACTGATGTAATATGTATGCGTCTCGTTCTCAATCAGAGTTGGAGAAAAGTTGACAGAAACTGACGCTTACGAGAAGCTACCCGTGCACTCAGATTAAAGTGACAGTTGTTAGAACAGTGGAAGTGAGTCTCCGATAGCCGTTTGCTATTCTGAAAGCAGATCATACAGAAGTACAAAGTGTCAGAGCGTCTCGTTCCTATGCAGCTCGCACAGCCTTTCACGTACCTTCCTTTCTCTGTGCAAGGATGAAATAAAGTATTAAGATATTCACTTACTATAAAATATCTATTGCATCATTAATTTTGATGAAGCCATGAACTGCGAAGGCCATTAGAAAGCTTATATTGTGTCCTCGTTAATCCGCCGTCATCAGGATGACTGTCTGCTCGGTGACGGCTAGTCTCATTACTCAGAATGCTCTGCAATTTTCCCATGCCCCACAGCAGTGCCGAATTATTCTCTAGATTGTTAGCTTTAAGTGTTTATGAGGCTGTGTTATACAGACGGCACAGTTAGTACAGCTGTGTTTTCCCAACTGGCCCATTTAGAGGAAGGGGACCTGCTGTAATAATACCTTTATTTCTGCAGAGCCCGCTGAAGATGTCATGTCGCAAATGAACAGCATCTCATTTGAATCTGCTGCATTTTATGTTGCAGTGGCCTAAGTCTGGCCTGATCATCAGTGCAGCGTGCTTATCGCGACTGTTTGTGTTCAGGTGGACACCATGGAGATGATTCGCCACCCAGAAGAAACCACCAAGATGAGGAGACAGACGGTGGCCTCCTATTTCCGTGTAGGTGTTTGCATTTCTCACTAAAAATGACTGCCCGGATGACACGTACTCCACCATACATCAGCAGGAAAATGAGACTGTAGTCTGCGTGCTGGTCTCATTTTGCCGTTGAGCATTTTTAAACTGTGTACTTTGTTTGTAAGAGTAACAAAGAAAAGCTTCAAATGTGAAAATAAAATGATAGCTGCTTTTCAGGTTCAGCTGAGCAGCTAATGATCTTCATAACATATGAAGCTGCAGACTAATTTGAAGCTCATACAAATATGATTAATTTATGCTGTATCAATAACTCCAAACAGCAAGATTCAATGACGTAAAGCAGGAGCACTGATTGTCTGAAAACAACTAAAAGCCTTCCACTGATGAGTGGATTAACTTGTTATTAATATGATGTCGTAACTGATCAAACCAGCAAAGTCTGTGATATCAATGGATCCTTCAGTTATTACTGATATAATATTTACATTAAATGAATTATGGGTATTCATGTGTTCTTTGTCAATTTACCTCTGATGAAAAGCATTAAAAGATGTCCTCAGCTTGCTCTGGGGACTAGCTGGGGAATGTTTGCTGAAGATGGCTGGTGGACAGCAAAATTGAATTTAATGAATTTGTTCTGTGTAAATCAGTAACTGTCTGCCAACAAGTCCACTGCAGCTTTATAAAGTAGGGGTTGTACTCACTTGTGGACACAAATAGTTGCAGACACCATGGATGAGTAGTCATTTCTGTTATATTGCCTTGTAGGACGAGTGTGAAGTCGAACGAGTTAACACAGAATTGGCAGGTACATGAACGTCTGCAGGGATGTCATGCTCATGGCCTGATGATGAAATGTGCTCTGCTTTGGTCAATTGGATCCAAGTGAGAGGACCTTAGCATACTCATAGACTATGAACCTGTAACACACCTTTCATTTCATAAAATGTAAATACATCTCAGTAAATACATCTTTAATTAGTGCTTAAAAAGAAAGCAAGTGGACTTTTTTGGTTTTTGAAGACGTCACTTCTAAAACAACTGATGGACAAAACCCTATATTTAATCCCAAAGCAGGTCACATACCTTGTTTTTAAGTGCTGAAGACTGCCAGGACCTGGATGAATGAGAATCTACTTGCACACTTTAATTCATTTTGTTATTACATTGCATTTTTTTTAACATTACCATAACTGATACCAATAATTCTGCAAATAGAATTACACAGTGTTGCTTTTTTTTCAAATCCCTAAATAGTTCATGATGTCTTTTACTTTAGAATTGAAAACACTGTTGTGTCCTGTTGGGATAGATTTGTTTATTGATTCATACTGATTCATTCTCGTGGGTACTATCGAGCTTGTTATGAGAATGTCTGGAAAAAGTTTGAATGCTTCTTCCAGTGCAGATCTGATCTGACCTTTGAACCCTGATAATATGAAACGATATAACTGCTCTCTCGTGTCTTCTCTTGCTTCTGCCCGTGGTTTATTGTTGCCTCATTGTTGTGTTTGTGCAGTACTCCCTGATGGACCTGCTGTCTAAGATGGTCGTGGGCCAGCCACACTTTGTGCGCTGCATCAAACCTAATGACGACAGGCAGGCACTGTGCTTCTGCAAGGAGCGGGTGATGGTGCAGCTGCGTTACACTGGGATCCTGGAGACGGTGAACATCCGCCGCCAAGGCTACTCCCACCGCATCCTGTTTGAAGACTTTGTCAACAGGTAAGAGTGGCGTCGAGACAGGCGGCGCCTCCACTCTGCAGCACGCACGCATGCTGACACAACCCCAGAGATGGCGTAGAACAAGTGAGCCGTGCTCTACATCACACAAAAACACGGGTTCTTTAATTAGATAGGGGTACATGTTGAGCAGAGCAAGAGGCTGACTAATTGGCAGTCATTAGTGATAGTGCAAGACTAAATCCTGCAGCTCTTTTAACTGGGTGGATACTCCAGTCTGGAAGATATGGATTAAATTCAAACAAGGAGGAACTGTGATTATAAGGGGTGATGCATTTTAATAGATTTCCTTTTACTATTCATAAAGAGTTTGTTCTTATACTCGGTGACCTGAAAAAGCTCAAACATAGTCTCCTTGTCCCATCGGTATTACATTAGAGCACAATTAAAACAAGTCTCATCATTAACGGGGGGCTTTACGTAAGGGTGTTGTTTTGGGTTTTTAAAAATATGGGACAGGATCCGTTTAACTGTTACTAAGCACTACACGCTTCCTCCAATTTAAAAGCGTACACCTAAATTTTAAGGGGGAAAAAATCCACACATTTAGATGAGGCTGTGCGAAAATGCCAGAAAGCTTATGTTTGATCAGTGTTCCTTTGAAAAGTATTCCAGCCACCTCTAATGTGGAGACTTTAAGATTATATAAAATTTAATTAACTTAGACTTGTGGAAAGAAGAACTTTGAGATGACTGGTTAGTGTCGTTGCTTCGGGGGAAGCTTTATAAATGTGGGCCTAATTTTGGCGAGCTGAAACTTTGAATGACCACATGGTGTTTCCCTACATGTCCTACTTTTGCTCCCAGTATCGAAGGCCGATTACTGGAAGATCGCACACAACCCCCGGCACGATGAGGTCCCTGTTGTCTCCTGTGCCTGAAGTGTGCCTGTGTGAGAAGGAGAGTGTGTAAATATATTTTAACCTTGCTATTGAATCCATATCATCCTACCTGAGCCAGGCAGAAGTCATACAGACAGACCTGAATGGCTAAACTGCACCTTTAGTGAAAACTGATTTAAATTTGTGCTCCCATATCAAAGGCTCGTCTGATGTTGCAGTGCTTTGTATTTACCATCAAAGAAATAACAGGTATCAACAGGAATTAGAATGAAAGGCTGTAGACTGAGGCGGGGAGGGGAGTTCAAAGAAGTTTTTCTTCTTGTTGTTGTTCTTCTTTTTGACCACTGCCAGAACACGAAAGATGAACGAGTATTTCTGGAGCCTTGATGTCCCTGAGCAAACAGTTAGAACCACTCTGTCCTATGCTGGTATTTTATAAACAGCAGGATCAGTGGATGGATCCAGACAATGTGAGCAATAAACAGCGGCGTGGGTGATGCACACTGATAGGCCTGCGCTAATGAGGATCTTCTGTGGCCACTGAAATAGGAGACGATGATGCATTGAAAAGAGATCCAGCGCTGGTCTCTGTTAAAGAGTCATGTTTGACTCAGAGTTCTGAGCAGCAGGAAGTTTTTAACTGTGGTTCTCTTAACAGTACTTCTAGTAGCAATGTGCAACAAGATGTTGATATTGATAATGTCATTTCTTGAAGACAGTTAAGTAAGTAGGCACTACGTCATCCCCTAATCTACCAAAACTAAGTTAGCTAAATTATCAATAGCTTGTCAAATATTCAACATTTCAAGATTTGTAGCGCATTAAACGAGAATATCAGATGGCTCCAGTTTCAGACACATGCTTGATTTATTCTCTATAGTTTAGTGGTTTATATATTTTCCTAATAAGTGAAAGATTCCTGGTTCAATCCCAGGAGAACACAAAGATCCCTTTGAGCTTGCATTAGGAGGGTATGGAGGCTTATTTCACTTAAAAAATCAGAAGTTTGAAGTTTGAGGCTGTAAGTCAACATTTTTAGATACCTAACTTGAAACTTTTAGACTGCCTAACCAAAAAATAAATAAATAAGTGGCAGAACAATCTTTTATAGGAATGACATACGTTAAAAATGTGTTAAAAAAGTTGCCAAATCAAATATGTGATCCCTTGTCACTAAGAAAGCAGTTGAAAGTAGCTTTTTAAAATTCTTTAAATCTGTTTATATTGTTCTATTATTGGCATGTCAGTGTCTCAGGAGGTAAAGCAGGTTGTCCACAAGTTCATAGTTTGATTCCGGGTCTTCTAGTTTGCACATAGTCTTCTCTGCATCCATCTGACTGCCTGCTACATGCATTTGTGTGCATGCATTTGTACTGCTTAAAGACGTCGAATAAAGCTCTGTCAGTTGTGTGTCAGTGAATCTGTGAATGCAGCTTGTAATAAAAACACCTTCAGCAATTCGTTAGCCTCTTGACACCCTGTGTTCTCATATCGGGACACTGTATTTTGGGTTTTCTGCACAGTTTTTCACTTAACTCAGTGTTTTATCCAACATTGATTTTATTGTGTTATGCTTTTTGAGGATGTAAAAACTATGTAACAAAGTAACGACTTCCTGTGCAAAGATAATGCTTAATACTCTCAGATTTTTTTTTTAAATAATAGCAAAACACAATATCTCTGCTTGAGTAACTACATTTGTTCAAAGGTGTCCTTTTTCTCTTCATTGTCTCCTCTTCCAGATATTACTATCTTGCATTTCGGGCTCACGAGATGCCTGAAACTAGCAAAGAAAACGCTGTTGCCATACTGGAGAGGGCCAAATTAAAAGACTGGGTGCTGGGAAAGACAAAGGTGGGGTTATTTTTAAAATAAAAAGTTTAATATTGAAGTTATTTGTATTTGTAAAAGACATTAAAGTTTGTAAAGACATAAAAGAAATAGACATAATCAAGCTTTGGATGTCCTAAGCAGAGCAAAATGTCCTGTCAGGTTTTTCTGAAATACTACCATGTGGAACAACTGAACCTGCTGCTGCGGGAAGTAATAGCTCGGGTGGTGGTGATGCAAGCTTACACTAAAGGCTGGCTCGGGGCCCGGCGTTATCGAAAAGAGAAGGAGAAGAGAAGCCGTGGGGCCACAATCATCCAGTCAGGTACGCTGGTTTTGATTAAACAGTAAACAGGATGAGTGATTATTCAAACTTAAGTCAAAAATATGAAAAGAAAGATGAGTTGTGATATATTCTTTTATCGCTCGTGATGAAACAGGTGCAAATTTGATGTGAGGTGGTTTCTTAATGACATCTAGCCTATTATGTGCCTGTGAGTCTTCATAAAAGAGATAGTTTGATAACCACAGCTTGACCTATGAGGGTTAAGAGCAATGCTTCAGAACAGACAATAAGACCTCAGAGAGTTCAAAGGGATCCATCCCTCTGCCACCTGGTTTAGCAGTGTTTTGAAGTGGGATCTTGTGTAGTATGCGCAGTCTATTTTGTTTCACAGAGGTAGGTCAGCAATCTCTCGCACACACACACACATACACACACTGTCTCTTTCTTTTCCCCTTAGCCTGGAGGGGCTATGTTGCTCGGCAGAACCTCAAGCAAATCAAAAAAGAGCGGGAAGAGGCAGCTGTCCGCATACAATCAGGTAAAGAAATGTTTAAATTTTCAAGTTCAAATATTCAAGTGGAGACATCTGGAATTTCTCACGCGGCCCCATGTCCGGTGGAAATTCGCGCCACTGTTTTCATACATTTTCAAAAGGAAACGGGATAAAGGCCTGGAAACCTTACATCTTTGTGAAACACCTTTTTGATCTCCATGAGTGGCCTACGAAATAGTAATAATTAATTAATAATGCATACAGAAAAGCTTTTGAAAGTTTGGGCAGCATTTGGTCCCCATGTTTCAGAAGAACAGTGCATACTGAGATCCTTTTTTTCCTTTCATCTCTTTCCCAGTAAAGGCAAGAGAGGGGCTTATCCCTTCTGTTTCCTCACGACTTCCTCTCTCAAATTCCTGGCCTATTACACAGCTCTCACATACCAGAAACAAGATGCCTTTTTATACTGTCAACCTTTTCATCTGAAATGTAAATTAATTCTTACTCAGTGTGCCTTGACGAAGATCAAAGTGGGCACATTAACCTTCCCAGCCCCCCTCCCCCTCCTCGGAGGCTCTCACTGGAGGACAAGGGAGGGTGCCAAAAGGGGCAGGAGAGAGGAGGGCAGGAGGGAGGAGATCTGGCATTGTTTCCCCTGGCTCTCCTAAGGGCTGCCCTCATCTGGCACATGGAGCATCTCAGTCGCCTGCACACCTTGTGTAAATGTCCTCCATTAAACCCTTGTAAATAAAGCTGCAGAATGGGTAAACATGGTTTTGGTGTTGGGAAAGCCTCTCTGTCGCCGCTGTCTTTCTTTTTAGAGAAGCGTGTTTGTGTGTGGCCGCCGGGGTTCGGAAAGGGGATGGAAGGCGGGGTGGGGGGAGAACCTGAACCTGACATAAGTGGGGCCTCAGCCCCCCGGCGGAGCACTCCAGCACATTCACTTTGTGTGTTCTCTGCAGCTTATAGCCTTTGAGGTGGGCTGCATTTGCATTCTGAAAATAAACAGATGCCTTTCAAATGTATGAGCCTGGTGGCTTCTCAGATCTCAGCGGGGCCTGGGGGACATGCTCACCATCGATCAGATTAGACCATGCAAAATAGAACCATTGCTCAACAATGTACTTGAGCCTTCTTTTCCTGTGCATATAATTTTACCAGAAAAACACAAAGCCCGTCGACGGAGTAAGTCAGCAGGCTCCGTTTACCATCCATCTGAGCTCAGTGTGTCTCAATAATCGCACAAAGTTTCCTCACTGCAGCGCCACAGACCATATATGCATGCTAAACACATCTCACTTTCTCGCGGGCGAATCCAGAGTTTCTTAATACAAAACTGTTTGGTGCTCCTGATTAATATATAATAAATACACTTTGTGTGTAATTGTGTGAGCATGCAACATGTATATGAGGACAGGGGTGAGGCATTTGATCATTTGACAGCGTGTCTGGCATTCATATCCTGTGCAGCTTACAGGGGCCATCGGGTGCGTCGGGACTGTGGACCCCAGGAGCACAGATGTCACCCTGAGGCTGGAGAAAAGACCACCAAAGAGGAGCATTTAGGGTGAGCTTTGACATTTGTTGTCCTTCAGCATCTGTTCTCATTGGTCTCATTTTTCCTGTACTTTGATTTCTTTTGTAATTTCATTTGCTCCTCATTGCACAGACAATAGTCCACCAGTAGCCATGGCTGACTGAGCAAGAGGCCTCCCACGCTTGCCATTCATCTTCAGCCTTTGCTGGATGAGCTGCTTTTGCCTCATAATGAACTGCTGTTTCACCCAAAGGAGAAAGCTCCTCCCTGTGCACCACCTCTTTCAGTTTTATAAACGTAATAAATAACTTTCCACCAAGATAGCACACTTGTCTGACCACAAGCGGGGCTGGGTGCTGCACTGGTGTCCAGATGTACGAGCTTGTGTTTATTCAGCATATGGGCAGGCCAGACATTAAGAAAGTATTTGCTAAGCGGGAGAGCAGCCACTGAATGAATAGCGGCACACGAGGTGTTGATGGCAGCTTTTACCTTTTTTTTGTCATTAAAAAAGTCTCTAAGCATCCTAAAAATTGTTTTAAGTATCCCCGAATGATTTCAGACCTTTCACAATAGCTCTTAGAAAGAAAGACATAAAATTAGAGATGCATTGCATATCTTGTTTAAATCTTCTGCGACATTTTGGTCAAGGTTGCGCATTTCTCTCCCGACTCCAAAACTCCAAAATACTAGATTTACACATCTGAAAATGTTATGCTCGTTGTATACTCAAACCGAGCAGAGCCTCATCTGGGGATTTTTCTCTCCATGTTTACAATCATATTCCTTGGTGGGAAAAAACTTCAAACCTCCACTTAACAATTCTGTTTAATCAGTGTTGGAATCTCTCCATATATATTTATTTTGACATGATCTGGCCCATTTTCCTGCGGTAAGATTTGTGCTCTCACCTACATGCTGTTCTTTTCCCTTTTGATACCCCTCCTGTCTGCCATGCATGAATTCTGTGTTTGCATCCAAACAGCAGAGCCTCCGGTTGCATTGCCAGTTCCAAACTGGATGAGATTTTTGTTTTTCTAGACCCGAAGCATGACTGCCACTGGCTCGCGGCATTGTGCGTGCAGACGTTGTCTCGTTGGTGTTTGCTTTTTAAATAATGCAACATGAGCGAACGGGCGCAGAAACACATCGGCGCTTTTTTGCTCCGCAAATTGCATAATCATAAAGTGGAGATGTTTTAGGAGCAAAAAAGACAAATAAAAATCATCCTCAGCTCTGGATTTCTTTGTAATAAGCTGATGCAATATGCGTTATTTTGCAGTGATCATTTTCGTTCATTTTAGTTAAAAGTGCGTCTTAATTTCACAGGTACAGCCCGGACAACAAAGAGGCAGATGGAGATTACACCCATAAAAAAGATGTAAGTAGCAGAATATCAATGAGCATTTTCCTTATGCCTTACTAGCTGTGTATGTAAAAAATAAAATAAAATAAAACAATGCTGCTCCTCTACAAAGCAGCTTTAACCCAGATTATTCTTTGGGAATTTTTTGAGTCCTTGAGACAAAAGAGTTCTCTTGCTCCAACCTCCATCTCAGCGGAGAAGAAGACAGGGTGGTACAGGAACGAGAGAATCAAAAGGCTGGAAATTCACGGCTGAGAATAAATGCTCGCTCTTCCCTGAGGTGATTTGTCTTTGCGCTCTTCTTTCTACAGATGTTAGACCCCTTTTTTAGTAAAGACCTGAGGTTCTTTGGTAGCACTTTGATATCCTGCTCGGATTCAATATGTGAAATAGAAGAGCCACTCCGTGACTTGGAGCACATCACAGTCTTTGAAGTCTGATCCAATTTTTGCTGCTCACCATTTGATGTTGAAAGGATGAAATGAGGAAAATGTACAGTTTTTGCCAGTAACTCTGCTGAGCATATGTAAGATTAAAAAAGCAAAATCCTTTGGAGGATGTACTTAGAAATGTTAAGCAGATTAATACTTTCCTATAGCTCTTTTATTCAAAGATAAAATTAAATATGAGAGGAAGTCTGTATGTGCTGTTTTTCATACTCTCACAATTAAGTCAGTGTGGTGCTGTTTGCTAGGAGGTAGGGCTAGTAAAGGGGGGATATGCAATTGCATTAGCATTTGATTAACATTGCAAAGCACATTAATGGGTTTGAGTTATATGAGTGCCAAATTGTAAATTGTAAATAAATGAATACAACATCTACATGACTAAATTGAAAAAAAAAAAAAAAAAACGCATTACAGGGCATGCTTTAACTTGTATATATTCATTCAGTGCTTTCATTGACATTGCTCTTCTGGGTGTGTTTACGCCTCCTCTTTCAAGGTTGGCCCTGACAGCCAAGACAGACAAGTGAAAGACATCAAGAGAGACAAAGGCAGAGCAGAAGACAGTGTAGCGAAGCCGTGCAGGGAGACGGCAAGGCTGCGAGACACGCAGTGTAAACAAGGTAAGCCCGAGCACAGAGCTGGCGGGTGCAGGTAATTACACAAAGAGACAGCAGAAATCCCGCTTTAATGGATAAAGTGCCATTTTTAATACGAGACCCCTTTCAACCTTTCATCCCAGCCAATCCCCTGCTGCCATTCTTTGTTGACAGCAAAAAAGAGCGGCATTATGGGCGATCATTTCTGTGGTATTTTAATAACTCAGGTCAGCTCATCATAAACGTCTCAAGGCAAGTGGAGGGGGGGGAGTTTCGAAGTGGCACGAGCACTTCAAAGCTTTCGTTCTCCTGCATGGCGGGCCCTTCACTAAGGATCTCATCAGTGACTCTAATAGACCTGCACAGTAACGGTGACACGAAAATACACAAACCCTGATTTGTTGAACACATGTTTGGTTTGCTTTTTGCCCCAGGCGACGAATTACATTAATTCCTGCTGCCTGGAAGGCTGAGTGGGTGGCTGTGCAGGGGGCCTCTGATTACGGCCGTCACCCAGCCCACCGCTAGGGTAGCCTTGGTAATGGGGCCCGGCCCTTCATTAATGTTATTAAAGGGGTATGAGGTAAGAGACCGAGGTGGAATAGTGTTTAGCGTTGCGGCTGAGAGATTATGGGGATTAGACATGATAATGTAACACAGACAGGGCTCTCCAGCAGGCCCGGGATTAGTGTCAGCACGCCACAGCAGGTCTGGGTTAGATAGCGGCTAATTCGGTAATGCTGCATACAGGTGACCCCCGCTCCCAGGCATCACTGCCGCTGAAGGGAGGCAGTGTTTGATGAATTTATAATGTCAAAGTGATTATTGAGAGGAAACATGGCGGTGAATGTGAGGGTATTTTGCCTAAACTGGCGCTTTGCTTTGTTTTTTTCCTCCAGTCGGTCCACATGTAAGTTTAAAATAATAGCTGAATGATTTTCTGTTTTTTTTGTTTTTCTTTACAGTTTAAAGCCCAAGAATTTGTTCAAATGTAAAACAATGAATTCATAGCATCATTGCATCAATAATAAAGCATGCCCACAGTAAGGCTTCGTGGGTATACCTGTAAAGATGGCTTGTGTCAAATTGCTTTCTTTCCTAGATTAAGTAGTTTGAAGGACATTTTTGGGGGGTGCGAGGTGAAAGGAGAATAAAGCCACTACAAGCAAATAAGCAATGCAAAGAGATTAAAAAGAAATGCAGAAGAAATGCTTCTGCAATTGTTTAAGCATCCTTTGATTGCTATGCATAAAATGTCCATCCTTAAGAAATTAAAATGCAAAAGTAATGTTTCTGGAAATGTTCCTCTTTATTTGTAAATAATAAAAAAAAAGCAGGTCGCTCATGTGCACTGAAGAAAAATTACATTTGATTTTGGATGACTGTGAAACATTGTACAAAAGACTTTGGTCAAAAAAGACTTTTAGGGTTCATGTTGATGTAACAAGGGGATTTTTGCAGTGATCTTGCAACCTCTGAGATTTATCCTGGGGGTAAATGAAGGTTAGTCTTTGAGTCTCTTTTCCTGCAGCACATCAAACTCTAATGCTTTTTTTAAGTAGGTAAGTTGTAAGTTTTTTAGATCTGACAGTTCAATTATGTTGAAATTTTCAACAGAAAAAATACCCTGGACTAATTCCTTAGATATTATATGTGGAGAGATTTTCAGGTATTCATCATTGCCTCTTTTCCTGCTTCATTTATGTTCCTGCTTGTGGCTCTGACGTCTTTCAGGAAACCCCATTTGAATATGTTGAGGGAGGCCACAGTGGCTCATGCACCCAGGGCACACTTTGATCCCTGCAGATCTGAGGGTCTTTTTTTTTTCATCCCGAGGTTGAGCGAGTCATGGAAGCCTTGCCCTGCCAGATGTTTGGAGACCAGACTTCTTCCTGTGTCTCATCCTGCCGTCGTCTCTGGTGATCGCATTGGTTCTCTCGGGCTAGAGTTCGACCTGGAGTGTTTCAGGACACCAGTAGAGGGGAAAAAAAACAGAGAATTAACCGTGGTAATCGAATTACTCCACCCCTCCAGACACCCGCGCGCTCTCTACACGCTGCTCCCATTAAAGCCAAAACACCAGGGCGTGACCTGGAACCTCTCAATGTGTTTGACGGACGTTGGGTCTTTCCTGCATGATTTTAAAAAGCCTGGTGTTCAACTGAGAGATCTGTTTCACTGTGTATCCGACACCAGGCTAAGCGACTGTTCTCCCTCTTTAGGCAGATACCCACAGTGCTGTATTTTATGATGGGGAGAGAGCATTAAAACACTTTGTACTCCAGGCGCTCGCAGTTGTCTTCAACACCAACCTTTGATTTTTCTTTTTTTCTCTCTCTCGCTCTCTCAGCGGAAAAAGTTACACATACGCAGTGTTGTCTTGTAAGCTACACGTTCAAGGCGATGTCACCTTCCGTCACCTGTCTCCTGAGCACTAAATATTAATGCAACATGTTTGGAAATGAGTCACAGAGATGTGTGCAGAAAGAAAGCCTTTGCTAGCAAGCAGCAGATATGATCAGAGCGCTGCTTATGCTCCTCAGCGTGGTAAACAGGATGGTGCCGAGGATCAGTCAGAGCTGACTTTATGGTTTATGAAAGCTGAGCTACTTATGTTAACAGGCTTTTTGAAGATTATAGTTGTGGTAAACATACATGTCAAGAGAGAGACAGTGATAAAGTGGGGCTACGACACAGCCCAATTACCTCTGTGCCTCAGAAGATGGTTAACCTGCTGGCTTGAAAGGATGAAACAAGAAGAAGAAAAACAGGAAAATAGTTAAAGTAATGTCTTAATGGTTATAGTTGCATCCCCTCTGCACAGAACACGGTACAGTCAATAAGAATTGATTTGGGTTGTTGCTCTGAGCTGTTTCTTTGCTTTATAGCAGCAGCTGGGAGCGCTTGTTGGAAATGTGGGCGCAGTTTTTCCCCACACTGAGGTCATCCCACACTCACAAGCACATTTCACTTTCCTCTCCGCCTGCTCCTTCCCTCAGCTCTTAAACGTCTTCCCGCATGTCCTCCCACAAGGTTTGCAGCCACCAGGTGCTGCTCCACAACGCCCCCCCCCTCATACACCAACACCATCACCACCAAAGCAGCATCACGGTATCAACATGCATCTGCCAGACAAATGATCCACCCTCTCCATGTTCTCTAGACAAATACTCTCCCTCCCTCTCGCTGTCTCTCAGCCTTTTGATTTATCTGTCTGTCTCCACATATCGCCGCGTCTCCACCGGATGCCTTCAGTTTTAGGCAAATTACAGGCTCGACGTAGCGGCAGCAGAGATTTGGAAGGGATAGGAAAGACTCAACTTAACGGAAGGAGTTGCCTCTGTCTGACGCTACCTACGTAATCCTCTTAATGTCAGTGGGAGTAGTTAACAGGATGTACTTCCAAACTACTCATCATCACAATTCCAACAGAATAATCTCCTCAGACATTAAAATCAAGGTGGAAAACGATGCTCAGAGTTCTCTGTGATTTTTCACATGTCGATTGAGTCACTTGGTGTACTTTAGCAAACTTTTCCAAGCACAAAATGTTATTAGGTTGTTATTGTACTAATTTTATTTAGCAAAATTTGCTGGTATTCCACTGATCAAGAGAGAAAAGGCTCAGTGCCCTTCATTTCCATATTTAATCTGTTTTTGGCTTTTCTTGTCATTCATCTCTCCCTCATCGTTCTTTATTCTTTTTTACTTGTCCTTCTTGGCCAGGGTTATAGATTACATGTATTAAGCTTGTGACAAATGATCGACTCCCACAATCAGATTTCTCCTCCTCGCAAGCATTTTTGTCAGGAGTCAAAGTTCCAAAAGTTGCTGTCAGTGGAAATGATTGATTTCAGTGTGAAAAATTGCTTGTAAGTAACAACATCCTCTGCTTGCACTAGTGAAAACAGATGAGGATCTGCCCCCTTTTTCTGCATTATCTGCGAGGCTTGATCAGTTCGGCTTCTAATTTAAAGCACATGACTGGCTATTAAAGGAATGAGAGAAAGTTCTGGAAATGCTCTTCCACTTTGCATATCTGGTTTGGGTCTTTGTTTGCAAGTTAAGAATAATATCTGTTACTGTTTGCGTGCATGTGTGTGCACGTTTGTGTGCATGCTGTCTGGGCTAATGTGTGCGTGGATGTGTGTGAAGAGGCGGTTGTGAGGTAAAGAGAGGGGTCTGGATTGCACATGCCTCATTTAGACATCAAAGGCCTCTGCTGATGATTTTTCCTTATAATTCATGCCTTTTGGTGCCTCTGCTCTCTCCATCTGAATAAACAAAACCCGAGCGGTTCTCTGTGGTCTGGGAGAAGTCAGGTGATTGCAGCACGTGACTTTGGAAGTAAATCGATACATCTCTAATTTATTCCACTAAAAATCCCTTTTAGCGGCTCTTTTATGTTGTTTCTGAAGAGCGTTCTGATTTCCAAGGGATTTCAAAGTGGTATTTAGAGATGTAATACGTCTCATCTGCTAGTCTTTGAAAATAAAAGAAGTACCTATCTCCCAAAAAAAAAAAAAAAGAATTCTTTTTATCTCAAGAAGCAAACATGTACAATATGTAAGTCTTTCACCAAGAAGAGCAAACACTGCTTGGCTTTCTTTTGATAGGGAGAAATCAATATTGCATGAAACTTACTGCCTCTGTATTCCCAGTTGGCTATTATTCCTCCCCACCCCAAACAGCAAACGTTACCCACGATCATTTAGCAAACCCTTGGTGTGAGCCGCTGCCTGACCCCTTCCCAGCTCTGCCCGCCCGTGTCCAAGCTGTGCTCCCATGCCAGAAGCCAGTTTGGCAGGCTCCCTGCCTGTAATATATCTGCAGGAGCAGCATTCCTCTGGGGCTGGCCTGGATCAAATGACAATGATTTCCCAAATGGAGGCACAGAGATGGGAGGCCTGACCCATCCTCTGATCTGCTACACGCTCTGATCGCTGCAGGTCAGGATGGATAAATTGTGAGGCTAAACCTCCTGTGAGATCTGCAGGGTTAGATACAGCACCTGAGCGATAAGA